ACCCAATTCCTGCAGCATCTTCTATGCCTCATTGCTGGCCCCTTCAGATTGGGCTTGCAGAGCACAGCAGGCAGGAATCGTGTGTTGCCCATGTCAAATGGGTGCATGGAGGCCTTTGGTTTCCAGGCCAGTCGGTCCAGCCCTTCTGAGCCTCAAGCACATTAAAAATAACCCCCCTCAATGCATGTCTGGACGGGCTGTTCTCTTTAAATTGCTATACGCTGCTTTAATGTGATGAGTGAAAGAGGCCGGCTTCCCCCAGCGGCTTGTTGCAGAACAAAGCTTGGAACAGACACTTCTCTTGGCATAAATCGGAGTTTTGCCAGGACATCCATAACCTGCTCTGGGAGCTAGAATAAGGCTCACTAAGAAACATAGCTAGATGCTTTGGTCCCTGTCACCAGGCAACAGTTGTCATGAGAAAGGAACCCAGAAGCTGGTGCCAGGAAGGACGGATGGTGGAGCTGTGCTGGAGAAGTTTCTGCATCCATTAAGAGAGCCTGCATTCCTGGGTCGTCTACAAGGGGCCAGGGGTACAATGTGGACCAGGCTAATCCTGCATAATAGGCCACTAGGAATGAATTCAGTCTGCTGGATACAACAATAAGGCTTCACACAGGCTCAGCCTGCAGCCTGGGGATAGATGACTTCCCCGGATCTACGGACTGACCTAACTCTGGGGGGAGGGCAAGAGGAGGGTGGATTTACTCAAAGCCCTGAGGTGCAGATTAAATAAAAACAACAAAACCAAACCCAGCAATTGCTTCCCATTGAAAAGTCTGTGTCTTAAGACACCATGTTACTGGCTTCTCCTGTCCAGAAATGCAAGAGGTATAGGATTGTGACTCTCCTCTTGTTGACTTGAAGTGTCAGTGGATGGGGAAATAGTCCCTTCGGTGCATCCACCTACCTTCATACTTTGTTCATCCCTTGCTAGTTCAGCTTCCTGTCTGAGCGTTTTGGCTCGGGTGTGGATTTTGTCATTTGGCTCAGCTTTGCGTTAACCTCATCCAGTTGCTTCTCCAGATCCTTCACTTTTTTTGCAAGTCTGGAACACAATGACAGTGATAACAGCAAACCGCCCCAAAGCAGATGGGCACTATCTGGCCTGTACAGCCCTGGCTTGTAAGGGTCACTATCGTTGTTATTCTCACTCAGTTATTTCATAGCGGGAAGCATCTACCATGACATCCTGCTCCCTGACTGCCTGCTGCTCCAAAGAACTCATCCCTGGGCAACTATTCAGAGATTGCTCTAGCAGCTTAAATTCGTATCCAGACTTATTGTTGAATAACTTCACTTTGCACATTTGCATACTCAAATGTCAGCACCTTCTTGCTGCTTCCATACACGAGCATTTATGGCTAATGGTCCCCTTCTTGAAAGTGCTGTGTTCTGCCCTCATCCATCATGTTTGCTACCATGCAGGTTGTCTGGGCCTCTCTGGCTTTCTGAAGGCAACAAGGAGTTTGTGACTGTCTGTCAGCATTCCACCTCTTGTCCTCGAGTAACTGGCATCAGGGTGGATTTGATTTAAATCAAATCGATTTAAATCGGTGGTCAGGAAGCCTCAATTTAATCACAGTTTTCTACAAAAAGTGTGTTCTTGCTGTTTTGATATCCTTTACTCATTTAACTTCTTGAAACTTTGCACTTTTAGAGAGAGGTAAGGGCTTGACTGTGTGTACACAAACTTTCAGAGAGACAAGAGGGCTGATGGGTGGGTAATCATCAGGTCTGTTCTCTCTCTCATCTCCGTATACTGCTATTAACAAGGATGTTATCACTGGAGACACACATCTTGAGAACTGAAACTAAGCATCACAGTGATGCTTAATGGGAATCTGAGCACTGAGTCCCATTGGGTCCCATTGGGTTAGAATGGTTTTCTTTAATCTTTACTAATCTATAGAGGAGCCTTGGGGAAGCCCATGAGATTGGGCCCCTAATATAATCCATGTCCTGTTGTGACCTATTTATAAAACTTTTTAGAAAAGGTTACATGAATATATTGTCTCAAATACTATATATATTTAGAAGTTATAATCCCTATTCCATGATGATATCTTTGAGCTTTAATATGTTTTAAATTAAAACTATCTCTATATAGGTTTGTTGGGGGGTTTTTGTTTTGTTTACATTTTTTTAAAAAGCATCATAAATAAAAAAAAAAAACAAAACCCCCAAGTAAATTAACAAAAATCTGATTTACAAAGCCACACGGATTTTTTTTATTTATGTTTTTGTTTTTTTTAAGCTGGTGATTTTTATCTACTCTGACTGGCATGATTCAATGCAAAGCCTTGGCAGTTAATATAACCAGTACTGCATCAGCCACTTGCTCCTCAGTTAATTTATAAGGACCTTGCCTCAATCCCTGAAGCAGTTTTCTGGTGTTAACGGGTCGAGGTACCTCAGCTGAGTTCCCCCGGTGATCAAGTATTACTATGGAAAGAACACCCAGATAGGGAGCTAGCTAGGCTGTCAGTGCAGTATACCCACAGGGACAGATAGGGCAGCTGTTTGGTCCAGCCATGACAAACACTTACTGCTGAAAATCCTGAGGGGAGATGTAGCTCTGAGATGGGGTGGGCAACTTGTCTTCAGAAGAGCGATACTTATGGTCAAGCTTTCTCTTCCACTTCCGTAGCTGTGGTGAGCTCAGATAATCCTGCTCAACACAAGGCACAATTTCCAGAGGAAAAGAATGGGAAGATAACTGTCCCTGACTTTTTTGACCACCCACCTCTATTTTAAAGAGCATCTAGCCTCCGTTTCCTTCAAAATTGTGTTGTGTGCAGGCAGGGGGGCTGAATATAAATGTTCCTGTTCCAAGATGGAAGAAGCCCAAAAATGACTCCACCTGGGGAGGGAGGTGGTGATTTCCCTTCAAACTCATACAGTCCTCCCTACTCCGCAATAGCAAACACGATTCTTGTGGGGTCCTAGTATCTTGAGAAAGAGGCGATGGGGTTGTAATGGAGCTGTGGTGTGCCATTGCCTCAATTAAAGAATCCCCAAGTTTGCTAGGGATGTTTTCCTTCCTTTGGTAAGTAAGACCAAACCTGAAGAACCTCCTCCTCTCTGTTTTTAGGATGCCCATGGGGACTGGCATATACCTAGCCTAGTACTCGTACAGCATGTGCTTTTCCGTTTACATGCATAGAGAGGGTCCAGAGGAGGGACACTCGCATGATTAGGGGGCAGCAGGGTAGGGCCTATGAGGAGAGGCTACGGGACTTGAACCTGTTCAGTCTACACAAAAGAATGCTGAGAG